CCTGAAGAACAGGCAGAGTAAGCATGAGATGGGCATCCTCTTCTCTGTGCTTCCTGGTGAGCTGTTTCTAAAGGCAGGCCACAGCTTAGTCTAGCTCACTAGCTCCTGGCACTTGCTGGGCCCCACCCAGCAACCTCCCTAGCAGGGGCCTTTCCACCCCTGTGGAAGAAGATCAGAATCCTGTCTCTTCGCCCCTTGTCCCACTGCTGGGCCTCTCCCTACAGCTCAGAAACACTGGATCTTTCCCTTATTTCACTGCTACCTCTGTGCTCTCTCTGTACCAGGAACCTCCTTCCTTTTCCTGTCACTCTGTGTTAATCAGCCCTGGCTAAGAGGGAGCATAAGGAAGGCTTCTAGGATTCTACTCTGCATCTTGGGCATATGAGCTAGAACTTGAAAAGCATTTGCTCTTTGTCATGAATGGTGACTCGCCTCTGTAGGGCATCAGTCCCAAGGCAGACAAACTTGTCTAGCCTCCCTTTAAGGCAGGATCGACAGGGACACCACATACCAGTGGGCTGGTCCAGGATCTTACTGTGCACAACTGGAGGCCCTGTCATGCTAGCACCAATCTTGAGGCGCAAAAGCACTGCGTAGTTCCTTCTGGTTGGCTGCCATCCAAGATGGTCTGAGCTGAGCCCAAACAGCAACGTGTTGTTCTTCAGACCAGAGGAATTACAAGCAAGAGACTCAATCAGTACTGGCCACAGTCACCAACCAAAAGTGGGGCAGCACTCTCAATGGCTCTGCCTCATGTGGGTGTTTTTGTCCACTCCCAGGAATCAGCATCACCATCATAGTGAACATCTTCCAGCACACACTTAATAGTCACCTCCAGGTGGTGCTTTGTCTAGGACTGTACAAAGTGCTCATGCATGAGCAATGAATGACTTCTGCATTCTAAGCAGCGGCAATGACTGAGGCAAAGAGAACTACAGCAATACACTGTCTCTTCCAAGGGAGTTTGGAATTGGTGCTCCCTGGTTAGATCTGAAATGCTCCTTAAAAGGGGTAAGCCATTGGGTGGCATGTGTATGTATCTGTGTGTGTGACTGTGTGCACAGAAACCTGCATGTGGTACATAATGAAGACAGAAGGCTGCAGGGCTGCACATTTGTGTGCACTAATACAGAATAACGGTGAATATAAAGGATGTGCATAGTCATAGAGTGAAGTAGTATGATTTTTATTACATGTAAGTAAAACAAAATCTTCTAGGCTTAACCCGGGCAGCATCTGGCTCAAAACTCATCCCTACAAATAATATTATTAAAAGCCCTCAATGTAATAGGAAGAGTTCAGGGATTCAGCTAACATCCTTTCTTCAGCAAGTATACAATGGGATTCAGTATAAACTCAGCACTCTTGTTACATTTGCTAAAATATAATTTGATCTTTATGCATTATGCATATACTATTTTAGACAGATGAGACATAAACTCATCTCCATTATTTATTAAAAACTTAGTCAAAAACAGGCATAGAAAACTTCAGGCTCATCAGATCTCTGGCTGATAAGTACAATGTTAACTCTTGGGTTGTTCAGACAGCCCTTGCTCAGGTGTTAATGGTCTGTCCCATCTCTGGCGTCACAGACACCTGAGCTTCTGTCTTCTCCCCATCCCTGCAGATTTCTCTCCTCTACTTCTTCAGAGTGTGATAAGGCTGTCAAAGTCATTTGACTCCTGGGCCACAAAGCTGGGGCTGGAACACAAGTACAGAGTCCCAAGCCTATGGCTCTTTTCACTTTACCACTTTGCCTTCGGCAGAGGATGCCATATGAAAGGAATTAAGCAAATGAGTCAGTTGATAATCATGTCTTAATTTAAAAGTGACTTAAGTCTCAAGGGTATACACTATCTCTGAGGACTGGCGGGCATCCAGAACCAGGGCAGTGAGGGCAAGCAGAGGGGCCATCTGCCTTCAGGCATCAGCACATGGGGCCCCAAGAAGATGCAAATTTTTAAAAATCCTAGTGCCAAAACTTTGTCTGCAGCAAGAGAAAATGGTGCCTGGTCTCCTCCAGGTGGCATCTTCCTTCATGGCGCCACTTGCTGGCTAAGCATGATAGGGCTGCCTCCCAAGTTAGTGCCACATCAGGACCAACCCAGGCTTAGGACTCCAGCTAGCAGAGGTAGGGACATTTCTGGCCTTGAGAGTGGCCTGCAGTTTTAAGCATTCTCCAATGTTCAGGGTCCCTTGGGAAAGGGTCACGTGTGTGTCTCGGGGTCTGGAGATTTTGCTGTTTCATCAGACCTCCTGTCCTACAGTCAGTCCCAGAGTCTCCATGAACTTTGGCTGCTTGGCGCCACGTGAACAAGGGCCACATTCTGGGAACTTGCTCAGCTTCTGGGGGCTTTCAGCACTCTGTGTAAAGACATGTCATCTGAGGAATTCCTCCCACTGCACCATTTCAGGCCCTCAGCCTCGGTCTCATGTGGGACCCTGTGTCTCTTCCTGGGTTTGGCGCAGCTCCCTTCAGCCAGATGCGTCACTGCCCGCCTCATCCTGGCACTTCCCAGCACTCGGCCCTTGGTTCGCTCCAGTCCTGGCAGCTTGGCAGAATGTACAGACTTCTCTTTCAGAGGGACAAGTCAGCCTCATTCAGGCAACAGGGCCCTTGGGGAATATGCTCTTTTTTAAAGCAGAATGTCCCTTTATGAATCCTCCTAGCCTTTTAAACACAGACATTAAAAATAAAGTCCCACTATTATTGCAGCTATCACAGGGGTTCTTAATTCTCAGTTTCAACTTCTGCTGCCCAAACACAATCTTTTTACCATCTGTGTCAGGTTAGTTACAAAGCACTGTTATTATTCTGGGCTACACAATGTTGGCCTGACCCACTCGAACACAAGAAATTTTGCTGATTGATTTAGTTTTTCTGTTCATATAAACGACTCCAGTTGTACAGCTGTTTCTGATTAGCCAATGTACTGCTGAAGTTATGTACAAATAATTTTATAATGAACTCAGCAACTACAAGGACAGGAGAAGTGGAATCTAGTCTCACCTCCCAGAAAAATAAGCAGGAGCAACAAGGGCAGGGGCTGTGGACAGCAGTCCAGGTTTAAATTCCTATCTGCTGTGATTCACTTTTTCCTCTTTATGTAATTCAGCAGAACTTAAAACTCTCAAAGAACCTTTGTCTTTAGACTTTTGGATTCAGGAGGGAAAGCCAATTAGCTCTGCAGGCTTAGAACTCTTTTAAAATTTCCCATCTTTGTATTTTGTTAAGTTTCTGCTCTTCCCATTAAAACATTTATATTTCCTAAGAAATATAAATAATATCCTTTTAGAAGGGGAAAATTGGGATTGAAATGTCTATATTTACTTTATTATAAATACAAATCAAGTATTTTGTTTCATTTCAATGCAGGACAATTAAGCTCTGTGAGCTTAGGCACAAGTTTTTCTTTTCTAGTTCTAGAAAACAAATCATATGCACATTAGCAAAATTAAGCAAAAGACAGCATGTAAATGAATCAAATGAGTGAATTTCCTTAAAAAGGTAGAAATCATGACAAGTGCTCCCTAAAGAAATCATCTGAAAGAAAACAGGAAAAAGAGATTAGAAAGTTTATACTTCTAAAATGAAGCATGCTGGCAAGAATGTGGGGAAACAGATATTTTCAAATAGTGTTAGTGAGACTTGAATTACTACAACTTTTGGAAGTAATAGTACTTTGGGGACCCAACAGACAGAAATAAAAGCTTCTGTATGTTAGCATAATATCTCTCTCTCTCTCTCTCTCTCTCTCTCTCTCTCACACACACACACACACACACACACACATACAGACACACACACAAATGTGTTCTGAGAACTACCATATTGAAGAAAACTTAAAATAATATGAATGATTAAGTAAATTAAGGAATATTAAGTATCTATGACATAAAAGAGTTTTTTTCATCTGGAGAGAATGTCTCCGATGCTTTGTTGTTTTTTCAAAAGTGTTGCCTGAGACTGGGGGGGGTGTGGCTCAGTGGTACAGTGCTTCCTTAGCATGGGGCAAGGCTCTGGGTTCAGTCCTTAGCAAAGCAAAAGCAAAAAAAAAAAAAAAAATCTAGCCTAGTGTGTATAATTCTATTTTTAACCCTAGAAGCTGTGTGTGTGTGTGTGTGTGTGTGTGTGTGTGTGTTTGTATGTTTATAGTTACATAAGCAAAGAGCAAGCTGTGGAACTGATGATATTGATTACCCTGAGGGAATTTGAGGGAGACAGAAAAATCATTCATTTGAAAAATATATTTCTATTATGATTGTCTTATTTTTAGGACACACACAAATACTTTTGTAACATGAGCACATTTGAAACTACAATTTTTAAAAAGTGATAGAGTCACATTTTCAGCAAAAACAAGAAAGCAAAGGCTCTAAACTACAAATATTGAGCACCTGGCCCAGTGGTTAACAACTTCTGCCAAGCTCTAAGAAACAACACATTTTATCACAGCAAAGTGGAAATGATGTGTAAGAGAATTTTGTACAGAAAGGAATTTTATGATTAAAATAATACCATAATACTATCCTCACAGTTCATTAACCAAGTGAAAATTTTTTTCTCCTTCTCCCAGTTCCTCATCAAAAAGAGAAGATTAAAGGAAGAGGGATTATGATGTTTAAGTAGTGAAGTTCTAATCCTGAAAGCTTATAAAATGTTACTCAAAGCTCCAAATTTAATAATGTAATTTTTGCATTTGTCTCAAACAAAATGTGAAGCTTTAAAAAAAGAAAGAAAAAAAATGGTAAAACCAGAAAAAAAGAATAAGGAGAAATTTTACTCACAAAATCCCAGATTATTTAAACTGACATTCTTGGTTCTTTCTTACCATGCACGGCAATCAAATTCTGGCTGTAACAGACAAGCACAGGCCCTTCTTAAAGTAAACTGCTTTATTGCTTTTTAGAAAGAGTTTTAAATTGTTCAACTACTTTGCCTTTTTCTAGGCCCTGAAAAATCTAATGAGAAATTTTGAAACCATCTGAACCCTTGCCTTTGTGTCCGGCAGCCTATCTTCTGAAACCTGGCTCGGTCTTCTTCTCTTACCGTCTACCCACTTCTTTCTCAACCCATCTCCGTGGTCCTTCCTGAAGTCCCACCCCAGCAAGCCTAATGCTACACACATGTGTGTGCCGCTTATAGCATGCAGGCCTGTTTAAGAGCCAGGCATTTTCATTCTCTCATATCTGGAGGCTGATCTGACTGTCTCCATTATTTAACTATCCATCCCCATAACACAGGACTATTGTGGTCAGGACACTGATCTCACTGTTTACATTCTCACAAAGTAAATAGCTAGGGTACAAGTTTTCTCAAGATCTTCAAAGTCTGAAGGTTCATTGCTTTCAAAATCTATCTTGCTGGGGAACAAGGAGTCTCAGGATTCCCTGACCATTATTTAATAACGTATTCAACAGCTTACCATTGCATCACTCCAAGAGAGAGTCAGATTTCTCCCTTGGTCCCTCCCAGGCCTAACTGATAGTATGCAGGCCTATTTAAGAGCCATATGTATGTGTGAGTGTGTGTGTTTGTGTGTGTGTGTGTGTGTGTGTATGTGTATATATACACACACGCTCATATATACACACCTGTATAAATACATGTAAATATATGTGAATGTATATTGCAAAGGAGCATGTATTATCTATGTAAGAAAATAAAACATAAAAATAAACTTTTACTTTTATTTATAATTAACTTCACTGGCCCAGAAATTATTTGGCTCTGAATTTTCTATTTTATTCACCAGTTCTTTGCTGCCACAGATCCCCCTTCCCTAATAGAACTGCTATCCCCCCAAAAGAGAAAGGAGCCTATGGCAGTAGGGGAGGCTGGTGCCCTTCAATCCCGCTCAGCCTTCTTCCTCATGTTGTACACTTCTTCTCAAAGCCAAGGGCATGAGATCCACAGGAAGGAGAGTCCATCCTCGTTCATGTGAAAGGGAAAGAGATGCAAGTAGCAGACCAGGAAGCATCACTCTTTAGATTCTACAATAATGATTTTTGCCCTTCCTTATAAGAACACAAGATCTTATTCCTTTATTTGTAGAATCATGGTTATTTTTCAACTTAGAAGATTAAAAAACATTTAAGGTTAATTATGCATATGCATACTCATATCAGTGATGGAGAAGGACCCCTCTTAGGATGAATTTCAAATCCTACCATCTTCAGAAACCCAATGCTCTTCTGCAAAACTATGATCTACTTTGCCTTTAGGAAAAAAATCACTCACCTCAACTCTTCCAGAGTAACAGAAATAAATAGCCACTGAACACTTATTCATCAAAAATCTATTTCAAGATAGTATAAAAATGAATTTTTTAAAAAAGTATTTCAAAAGAGTCTACAATATAAAGAGGAGACACATGTGACTATAATCCAGGACAGAGTGGATTTCAAGTCACAGAAGAGGCCCACACCAACAGCAGAAGAAGTGGACTGAGACTTAAGTAGCATATTCTTACAATGTGAACCAAGTTTATCAAGGTCATTAAACCAGTGTGGTCTTAGGTAATTGTGTCTCTGCTTTATTTTAGATATGTTCTTCTTTCACTGAATGTTATCAAAGTCTACTGTTTTTTGCTTCTCAACAACTAACTGTGTCCAATCTGAAGATTCTACAGGATTCTACAACAAATTCAGAGAAAGGGCGGTGTGGCAGGAAGGAATGGCAAGGCAAAGGCATGCAGATGGGGATGGGAAAGCTCTATTGAGCTACAGCCCTTGACACGAGAAGCAGTGTGCCCTGCAGTGTGCCCTAAGGCTGGTGGTGGAAGGAAGGGGTGAAGGGGTAGTGTTGGGAATCAGATGCAACAGGTCTGAGGACTCTTTTGCTAGCTGTGTAACCTTGGGCAAGGTACCTAGCTTCTTCCATCCTCAACTTCCACATATACAAACAGAAATCCCACAGGGTTGCATGATTATTAAATGATTCAATTTCATGACATAGTAAGAGGTAATCTTAAAGGACAAAAGGAAGGGAAAGAGGGAGTCAGAAAGAAAGAGGGAAAACAAGGAAGGAAGGGAGGGAAGGAGAGATTTTTTTTTAAAGCTTGGACAAGATCATAAAAAGCTTTGAAGAATTTCATTCACTTAAATAAAATTGAGAGATTAAAAGAAATTGAGTTATACTAAAAATATGGCTTATTAGAAAGGAAAAATATACTCAGAGTAAGCAATGCGAAATGTTACATAGTGACATGTTCTTACAATGCTAACCATGCTATCAAAGCTACTGAACTAACAAAAACTGTAAGTGTATCTTCTATTTATTTTAACTACATTCTTCTTTCATTGAATGTTAGCAAAGTCTATTATTTTTGACTTTCAACAACTTTTGGGACCAATCTGTAATGCTCAGCATGCCTCCCTGCACTCAAAGTTCCCTGACCCCTGGCCACAAGAAGGAGCAGTGGTATCCCCATCTGATGGACCTGATTACTGTACCTGTGACCAAGGCAGCTTGACCTGGGGCAGTGAGTCTAATTCCTGGCCACCCCTCATGGTTACAGCCACTGTGTGACTACCACAACAGGTTAACCTGCTATTTCCTGGTGCCAAAGGGCCAGGAAAGTGATACATCTTGTCTTTGTTTTCTGTCCTTAATTGTCCTGCTAACCTTAGTGGAGTAGGTTCTACTGGGTAAGCAGGCACTGCAGGCTGGTGGCCCCCAATAATACCATTCTCAGTGAGATCTCTCCTTCTCAGGGTTAAGAGAATACAGCATGTAAGATGACTGATGTGAAACATTCAGTAAACTACAGACAGCTAAGGGATTGTTGTTATTATTATTATTATTATTACTACATATTAATTTGTTTTTAAAAAAGCAGTTTCTATGTTTAGGCTCTTTTTGCCAACAGTGTCTTCTACATACTGACACTGATAATACTAATGCTAATAATAATAGCCCACAAACACCCCCAAACAGCACTATTGCAGATGGTCTGCTAAGTGACCCACATACAAACTACATCTGACCCTCAAAACAATCCTTTGAGTTAGAGGTTGTTATTCTCATTCTAATGGTAAAGAAACCTTGTGAAAAATAGTACTGGGACAGGAAAAGCATGATGAGTCTGACTCCATAGCCCATGCTGTAACCATTAGGAAATTCTGCCCTTAGCAGCACCTTGGCAACATCTCAGCAACACCTATGAGCTCTCAAAATAGATCTCAGAAGCCCAAAATAGATTCCTAAATCCCACACTTACAGACTCAAACCTTTATAAGCTTCTGGTCATACTCATGGATAAAAGCCAGCCTACTTCAATGCTAGTTTACATGTGTTAAGCAGATAGTGTTACTTAACTAACTGCAGATACTCTGGAGACTTTGCTGAGTCTAGAGTTTTTATTAATTAAAAGTACATAAGAGACAGAGTTAATTATTCCAACCTGATCATATACCTGCAGGGTGAGGAACAACGACAAATGTTAGGGCTGGGCAATACAGATGAGGCTGAGTGAGGAAGTCGTCCCCTGCCACAGGGAAGGAAAACCTGCAGTGTCCCTTAACTGGAGCAGAACCAGTGAGATACAAGGTAAATGTACCTATTTTTAATCTTCCTGTGGCTGACACATAGCAAACAATAAATATTTGTTAAATGAACAAACTAATGACAGACTAACTCCCTCCAGCTGGAGGGAAATTTACTCTCCTTAAAACTTTCTGAATTTGATCTGCATCTTTTTTTCACCTTATGCTTTGCATTCCTGCTGTTTGAAACCAGTCTCATCTGTAATTCAAAGATAAACATTCGGGGACAAACTCCTTTTTCTGAGCGAAGTTTCCCTATAGCTGTGACCTCTAGCAAGGACCCTCAAAGCTCAGTGAGTATTGGTTTGATTCCAACTGTTTCCTGATTCATATTCACATCTGTAGGTCCCAGCAAAGCATAAATGTGCCTACCAAAGCTTCAAGAACCACGGCATAATTGTGGCTTGCTGGGAAACAGCAGCAGAGAGATCTCTGTGTGGAAATCATTAGGAATTTAGTAGGCCACACTGGAGGACAGGCCTCAGGAAGACCACAGCTCTGGGAGGCAGAATCCCAGATGCTTGGAAATGAAGGGGTTATAGCAACAAATTAAAAAATCGTATTTGTTTAGTTTTGTTCTCCTTATTCTGTTGTGGAAACCACATGTTGCAAAAATTATAACCATAGTTAAAACACCTTGAAATACCAAAGACAGTGATGCAGACCTAGTACCAAATACCAATCACAAAAGAAGGCAGGTGGTGGCCTGAGCATCTGAGACAGCAAATTTAAAGGGTGTTGGAATACTTCCTTCTCTTCACCACCAACCCCCTTTCAGCTCATTATTGCTCTTGTGTCTTGGTGCTGCCCACTGATAGTGCCTAGGTGGCCCTTTGTGCCAAGCTACTTTTTGCTGTTTCACACCCCATTGTTCCACTTGATCTTTATGCCCTGGGACAAGAGGAAACAAAGGTTATCAGCCCCATTTTTGAATGAGATAAGTGAGGCTCAAGTTGCATGATATGCCTTTATAGGGACCAAAAGGTGGCTAAACATACAGAAGTCAATTTATGAACTGAAAAAACAAACGAAAGCATGAATCCCTCCAGCTGGAAATACATTTATCTTCTCTAAATGTTCCAAATTTCATCTTACCTTGCTTTCCAGTCTCTTTGCTCTAGATCACACAATCTAAAAGAATATTAGTTGCTTTTCTGGAAGAAAAGTTGTGGTGGGGGCTGGGTAGGTCCCCGGAAGTAAGCCAACATTAACCAGCTGTTTTAGAACACCTGCAAAGCCTAGTCAGCAGGCTTCTATTCAACAGGTAATGGGTTCTCAATGGTACTTTGGGATTTGTAGATTGTAACACCTCCAGGTTGCTGAGAAACTCAACCTTGTGGAGATGACAGGCAGGCAATTACAGAGAGCACGGATACACAAGTGCAGTGTTGTTTAGCATTGTAAAAGGGATTAAGATGCATGGTGCTGATAGCCTATGCAGAGTTTTCTCACTTTACAAAGTCTAAAGGTGATTTACAAACTGAAATAGAATATTTATTGGATTTATTTTATCCCTTATAGAAATAGACATTTTTTGTGGAGGCAAAACTTACCAATGATCCAAAATGAAGCTGCAGTGTCTTTGTGAAATGGCTTTGGAAAAGTGGCATAAAGAGCCGGATCTGAACTGGCTCTGCAGCTGCACTGTACTTCCTGGGGTTTGAGGCTACATATGCCAGGCAGGAGAAATGGGGAACCCAGTGGTGTCCAGTGAAGACCCAGGGGACAGAACTGACTAGCGATTTTCAGAAAAAGGTACTAAGTCCACTCAATCTGACAACCTGCAAAGCTTCTGAAGAGCTCAGATAAAGCCTGGAGCCTGGAGCTTACCCTAGGGGGTAATAGTCCATTGGGAAATAGGCAGAGCCAGAGACTTAACCAGGCATTCCTTTTACAGACACACCCTTTATTAATCTCTGAGTTTAAGGTGTAGCCTTCAGTGGAGGATCTGGGT